CAAGAATTCTGAAAACTACGCACCTAATTCAGTCCACTCATTGCATCACAGTTTAGGAAGCTGAGACCGAGGCAGGTCACTGAGTTAGTTAGGAATCCAGGTGCCATGTCTTCTTGGTAATATCAGTACCCCCTCCCCTTCCCAGTAACCTGGTCCCCTTACCCTAGACCAGTGGTTCTCAACCTTCCTAATGCCGAGACCCTTTCATACAGTTCCTCATTTTGTGGTGACCCCCAATTTCATTGTTACAAATTGAACATAATTAAAGCATAGTGATTAATCACAAAAACAACATGTAATTATATATGTGTTTTTCAATGGTCTTAGGCGACCCCTGTGAAAGGGTTGTTCGACCCCCAAAGGGGTCGCGACCCACAGGTTGAGAACCACTGCCCTAGACCCTCCGTCAATAACACCCTGACTCTCTCCAATCCCACATCCAGCCAGCCCTAAATTCCCGTTTTTGCCAAGGACTTTTCCCCTCCGTTCAGCTAAATCAGGGATCTGATTGTTATTATGGGACTGTCTGCAGGCGGTTGCCTGGTGTCACTTGGTGTCACACCCTTGTGATTCTGGTCATTTAAAAGTCTCGCTATCCTCAGGCTTCAGTGTTGAACAACTATTGTCAAGTTCAGGCTCTACAGTGATCCTTTAAAACAGCTCCAGTTGAGTTCCCTTAGAAGGCAGACCAGAGTTTTAAAAAGATCTTCTTTTAGTCCTTCTTACTAAAAATCTGATCTTACTGGGAACCAATGAGTTGCCTGAAACTGGGTTCTGTAGGAGGGTGAGTTCCCTCTGAAGCTGGCAGAGCACCTGAGAATTGTAGGTGGACGGGTGCAACATTTCTTCACCTGATCCATGGCCTGGTAAGCCCAGGGCAGCATCCGATGGTGCTTAGGCCATCAGCAAAGCAAGGGTATGGGAGGGAGGGAGGGAGGCGGTAAGGGGAGAAAAATGTCAGAAATAATCTGACATTTTATATCAAATAAAAACACCTAAGTAGTCCTTATGGGGGGAGGGGGGTGTCAGACCTTTGGGACTTTAGAACATAGTATTCCCTTTATTTCAACTTACTTTTAAAAATTAAATTTATTGGGGCAACATTGGTAAATAACATATACGTTTCAAGTGTACCGTTCTATAATACATCATTCATATATTGCACTGTGTGCCCACCACCCAAAGTCTAGTCTTCTTGTGTCACCATGTATTTGATCCTCCTTACCCTCTTCATCCTCCCGCACTCCCCTTCCCCCCTCCTAATCTCCATACTGTTGCCTAGCCCTAGAGCTATCACTTTAATGCTTTTATCCTTGGGCCTCTGAGGGCCTGGCCCATCTCAGTTGCAGGAGAAAACTTCTCTGAGCAGATCAGGCCTGGGTTTGCCTGCTCCCCTTTGGGAAATGTGCCCCAGGTAAAAGGTAGTTACAAAAGCAGGGGAGAAAGAAATCCCTGGTCAACTCACCAAACAGACTCAGTAGCTCAGATTTTAGCAGGTCAGCTTCTCTTTTGCGTATGCATATTGGCCTAGAGGCGTTTGCCCTTGAGTTCACCTTTCTTTCGGCTGGACTGGATGGACTGGACTCCTCTGGAGAGAGCGAGTATGCTGTTCCACTTGGGCACAGGAAAGGCCTCCGGGGGAGTGGATAGTGGTGCTCTTCAGAAGCAAACCTGGGTCGTTCCTCTTGGGAGTATGTTTGCATTTTAGAAATGGAGGGTCCTCAAACCTAGGCATGAAAGATCAATTATCGAGAGGAGGCATGGATGGATTAAGTGTGTCTTTTGTACAATTTTTACTGATAGATTTCAAGAATTCATTTTTCTCCAAGGAACACAGAGATGAAAATTCTAGTATTTAACTTGATGGACCTGTCTGTGCAAATGATGTCTGATCTTGTGTGAGAGGGCATGAAAGTTTGTACCGGACTAAAGTGTTAATTTCATGTATATATATATTTCAGAAAGGAAGAGGGACAGAGGAATTGAAACATCAATGATGAGAATCGTTGATTGGTTGCCTCCTGCACGTCCCTACTGGGGACCAAACCCGCAACCCAGGCATGTGCTCTTGACCGGAATTGAACCCAGGACCCTTCAGTCCCCAAGCCGATGCTCTATCCACTGAGCCAAACCAGCCAGGGCCAAATTGTTAATTTCTAAAGTGTATGTGTACCTGATGTATGTTTGGTATCCAAGTGTGTGTTTCTCGGTGTGAGTGCCATCCAGACAAGAATGTGAGCTTGTGCCCGGCTGGTGTTGTTCAGTGGTTGAGCATCGACCCATGAACCAAGAGGTTCCCGGTTCGATTCCTGGTTAGGGCACACGCCTGGGTTGTGGGTTCAATCCCCAGTAGGGGGCGTTCAGGAGGCAGCCAACTCTCTGTCATCCATGTTTCTATCTCTCTATCCCTCACCCTTCCTCTCTCTCTAAAATCAATAAAAACATTAAAAAATAAACATACATTAAAAAAAAAAAAGAATGCGGGTTTATAAATGTTTGGATATTGGAACGGCTAACCACACACAAGCAAAGCAGATGTTTCAATGATTTCTCAAATATTTTAATGAGTGCCTTGATTTTCCTGATAAAGAGAGGACAGAAAAAAAAGAGTTACTCCTTTTCCTTTGAGTGAAGTAAGTTTTTACCAGGAGAACAGGCGGGCAGGCAGCTATGGGACATACACACGTAGTTTAACTTTTTTCTTCGGTGGGGAAGTGATGACTCCTGGTGTGGCTCAGAAATGAAACCTTCCTATGAGGAAGTTTCCTGTCTTTCCTGATGATCACGTGTGCCTGCTCTGATTACTCAAAGCGCAAACTGGGCGCCGTGGGGGCATTGAGGAAGTGAAGTTCTTCTTTCCATAGAAAAGTCCGTAGGCAATTTCCTCTCCTCTGAGCTGTAAGACAGCTGGTGATCTAAGTCCCCTCCCCCCTCCCCGCCTTCTCAGAAGGCCACTCGTGGTCCTATTTCACATGCATGAGCCAGGACCAAAGGGCCACAATCTGACTCCCAACAAGGTTAGGTGCCCAGCTTGGGTGAGTGGTGTGGGCACCTGGCAAGCCTTCGGGGACTGGCTGCAGAGAAAGCGGTGGTACCAGGCCCTGCTGCTGGCCTCACCTTCATCTGGGCAGGAGGGCTGGGCCCATTGCCCTCCTGGCCTCGGGAGGGTGTAGGGTCATGAGTTAGAGCAGCGGTTCTCAACCTGTGGGTTGCGACCCCTTTGTCGCCTAAGACCATCCTGCATATCAGATATTTACATTACGATTCATAACAGTAGCAACATTACAGTTATGAAGTAGCAACGAAAATAATTTTATGGTTGGGTCACAACATGAAAAACTGTATTTAAAGGGCCAGAAGGTTGAGAACCACTGAGCTAGAGGATGATGTGGTCTCTGCTGGCCAGAGGAAACGGCCTGCTTTTGTTTTCTACCCAGTAGGAAATGGAACCTGAATCCATTTGGTTCTGGGCAGGGCAACAAGGCACAGTTTGAGCTCTTGGAGGCGCTGATGCCTAAAGGCCACTTGTGTGCATTTGTGTGTCCCCCATCACCACTGTGCCCATCTTTTATGCATCTAAAGCCCCCCGCCCGGTAATCTAAAGCAGAGTTCTGGGAGACAGTAATGCCAACAGGCGCGGGGAATAGGGAAGTGCACCTGTAGAGTTAAAAAATGCATGACCCTCTTCCTCAAAGAGTGAACGCAGGAGAGAGACCCGTCCTGGAGGGCGGCCGCTGAGCCCTAATGCATAATTCACGGGCCCACGCTGCTCCGTGCAGATGGCGATATTAAATCGTGATTGATGCTAAGAGCGGCACGGCTCTCAGGAAGGTCTCCCAGAGGCTTCTGGGTGTTTCCAGGTCTCTTGTGTCTGCTTGTCCTCTCTTCTCAGGTCGTCTTAAGCGAAACCCCCCATCGGCCAGGAACCCCCTCCTGGGGATGGAAGATCTTCACTCCCAAATATGTGAGGTTCTTCAAATGTCATCGCCCACCTTTTCTGCCTTTGAAGATGGCTCCTTCCCTCCTGGCACGGGTGCAGCTGTTCCCTCCAGCCGGGCACTGTGGGGAGGGCTGGGGAGGCTCCACCAGGCTCCGCCAGCCCCTGGCCGAGGGCTGCTGACCGGGGACAAAGCAGCAGCACACTCTGCTGGTGGCGCCCAGGCAGGAGGGACAGTGGGCAGAAAGCTCGGGCAAAGCCAGCCGTCCACTCAGCACAAAGCGCTCTTTGTCGAGACTCTGAGGTCAGAGGCGGTGGATTCTCCTATGCAGATTTTCCACTCCGTGCATAATGAAATCATAAATCAAATTTGTGGTGGATGTGGAATTAAGTGTTTGGGAGTTTTGCTTTTGCTTTCTTTCAAAAAAAAAAGGCTGAAATCACCCTCCAGGGCCTGATCTGGCCCAAAGCTGAAAACGCGTCTTCTGCATCACATGTAATTGTTACCAGGCTTGTGGGTCGGCACCACAAAACCACTCTTGTCAGTTCCCGGAGCCGTTACTTCTGGCGGCCTGGCCTGGGCTGGGCTGGGAGGCCCGAGAGCATGAAGGATTTATGAGGTAAAGATAGAGGAGAGGCTGAGCGAGCGCAGAAGAAGATGGGCCACGGCCAGGAGACAGGAAAAGGCAGGGAGGCATGTTAACTTTGCAGCTTTCTTGTTCTTTTTTAATCCCAGAGCACGTGATTGGGAACATTGGCGACCACTTTCTGAAATATTTTCATTGGGGAGCGTGTGCGTGCGTGTGTGTGTGTGCGTGTGTGTGTGTCTGTGTGTGTGTGTGTGAGTGTGCGTGCGTGTGCGTGCTCAGCTGTGTGATGAGGGGGGAGATGGGCTGAAATAACCTCTTCCACTGAATGAGTAAGTAGGTTAGCTTCCTGGACTGCCATAAAAGGCCTGTAAAACCCTTTCAGGCCACTGGTAGAGGAGAGAAACAGGGAGAGGAGAAAAAAAAAATGCTGGAACATATTTGAAGTTCCTTGGGTTGTTTGCCTTCTCTTTCAGACCCACCCTGTGGCGGTCGTTTGAATTCCAAAGATGCTGGCTACATCACCTCGCCAGGTTACCCCCAGGACTACCCGTCCCACCAGAACTGCGAGTGGATTGTTTACGCGCCCGAACCCAACCAGAAGATTGTCCTCAACTTCAACCCGCACTTTGAAATCGAGAAGCATGACTGCAAGTAAGCACCCTCCTGCCCACTGTGCATCCTTGAGACACCCTCCCTCCCTCCCTCCAGCCCCGGCTCCGACCGCAGCGCCACCTAATGGCCACACCCGTAACACCGGGCCTGCTAAACAGTGCCCGACCTGGGTCCGAGGGGAACCCAAGAGGGCATTCTCTTTCAGGGGGAAATAAAGGCCAGTTGGTCCTGTAGTGTGGAGGAAAGAGCCTTCTTGAGTGAACTGTGTAAGGAATAGCATCCTATCTAGCATCCTATCTTCAAAAGCTGGCAGTGGGGGGAGTTCCCTGTGGGGGCAGGGCTGGAGGTGGACTACAAAACAGCAGCTCTTGACTTTGGGACTTGCCTCCCCCTTGGAGATCTCCCCGTTTCCACTGCTGCGACCACACGTAGGAACCCCACCGGCTTCCTTGATAAAATAGCAGCCCAGTCCCACGTGGAGACTCCCTCCGCACCCAGCCATGGACACTCGGGCTGTTGTGGTGGGAAGGGGCAGCTGGTTTCCTTGCAGTTAAACATCAGAGTCTCCACGGGTAGATCTAAGATGTGCATTGCTTCTTGGTATCTGTGCTGCCCAGGTTAGAGTCTCAAGGCTGGATTTATCTAATAAGCACTCTCCTAATTGCTTTGTAAATATCAGCCCACTCCACTCTCACAAGGGCCTTGGGAAAGGGGGGTCCTTACCACCTCCATGTTGCCAATGAGAACAGCCAAAGCCCAGGGAACCTAAGTCAGTCACCCGCGGTGACTCGGCCGGTCTCACCACCTCGGTCCTGTCACTGTGGAGATGCGTGGCTCAGGAGACACCACGTGGACATGTAGACATCTGGGAGTGCTTCAGAAATGCCATGTTAACACGAAGGCCCTATAAATCAAGGTGGGGGAGCAGACAGCACTGTCATGTCGAGAATGTGAATACAGTGCTTCCTCCTTGAAACAAAAGGGAAAGTTTTCTGTGCAGAAGGTCATGTCTGGCTCCAGAGAGGCACCTACAAGGTGCCCCTGCTCCAGTGGGTGTCCAGTGCCCCCTTATGGTTGATAAATAGTCTGAGCCTTTCTTGTGACCAAGACAATGCAAGTGATGAAAAATTCATCAAGGGCCAGCTGATGGGAAAGGTGCAGGACTCGGACCTGGACCAGCCAGCGCTTACTCATAGATTCAGGACCCTCTGTAACCAGGCAGAACACAGGACCCTCTGTAACCAGGCAAAACCCTCTGGAAACACTGTAAGACAGAGCCCACTAGATGGTACAAAGCACATTCACATTCTTGGCATGACAATGCTGCCTGCTCCCGCACCTTGATTTATAGGGCCCTTGTGTTAACATGGCTTTCACTCTGAACCCGTGCATCAATGTCATCGCTACCCTCTGAGGACTGCTTTTCACCTACGCAATGGTTTTCCCCTAACAAGAGTTAGTCTTTGTTGCGAATCCCAGGGTTTCCTGGATAGATGCCTCATGTGACAAAGAATCATAAGGCCAAGCTTCTAATCGCAGATCGTCTCTTGACTCATTGAAGGACACAGGGTAGCTGCCCAGTTCCTCTTTGTCTAAGTTCAGTGCACACCCTTGGACACGCTTGCACAGAGTCGCAAGGCTGCCCATTCCCTGCCAGTGAACTTCACCAAGAATTTCTGTGAGAAGGGCTTCTTTATGAGGTGTTTTTGCTCTTGGAGCCTCTGGCCGGGCTGCAGGAGGTTGGCACGGACTGAATCGTAATGCACCGAGAGCTTGGGTCTGAGCTCAGGGAAATTTGACTAAGCACCTCTCTGGACTGGGGGCCAAATTCTGTTATGCTTATGCCAGCAAACCTCCCGGGGAAATTGCTAAGAGGTCATCCTATGTATATTCATAGCGGCAGAGGGAGAAGGCACGGCTTTGGGAGGAAACATTCAGGAGCTGGTGAGCATGGCTTTAAGCACGTTCGGAAGTGTGAAAGGCCAGGAAGACATGCTCCCGCCCTGTCTGGGGCTGCAGGGAGCCCCTTCCCCTTCCAAGACCCAGCTCCAGGGATGGGAGAACTCAGATTGCTGCAGCCCTCGGGGAAGAGGGCAGAGTCCTTTCACGCTGAGTTGGAGCAGGCCGTGACAGGTTATCCTCCAGTTTATCATCTTCACTAAGTAGCTTCCTGTTTGCCTTCCCAACTCCCCCATTCTATGCTGCTGGCTCGAACCGGAAAGGTCAGGAAGGTCAGAGAAAAACCCTTTCTGGGGTCTCTCTCCCCCAGTGCCAAATTGTCAGAAAGGGTCTGTTGGGGTCAAGCCCCTGCTACTTAACCTCGTCCTTCATTTCTCTCCCCCTCCCCCGTGTCCCTTCCACTCCCCATGTCTCTCTCACCCTGATGAATTTTTGTATTTAGAGAGACACATCCGGTCCTCTCAACCTCTCTCTCTGCAAGGTCTTTTTGACCTTCTTCCCCGGCCATTTGCATTCAGAATCCATGGGCTTCTCCCCCACCGCCCTGGTTCACTTGCGAAAGGAACAGTTAATCTAACTGAAGTCCCGGAAGTTCTGTCCGGTGCCTCCTCTCTTTCCCCCTCTCATTTCTGTTCCGAGGGAGCTCCTGGGTTTGGAAAGCACTCACTAGCATAGGAGCTTAGCCTCCTTTCTCCCCTGATTCCGGGGGCCTGTTTCCAAGTGGATGCGGCTCTGGCAGCCCATCGGGTGGTGCTTACCAAGAGGAACTGCCTGAACCATCCTTCTGATGAGAACGCAGCAGTAACACCTC